TCGAATTCGTGTTTAATTTATCGAAAGCGTATCGAAACAAATTTCCACGTTTCGCGTAGATATCGTTTCTAATTCTCGTTTGTTTTCGTTCCACCGCATTTCCAAGTTGAAAACGTTCTCGATTCTCGTGTATACTGGCTCGAAACTTGTGCACAACATTTCTAACATTTCGCTTTCGTCTTCTAATAGCATATCACCTCGCATATGAATAGTGTTCTAATAGAATTTTGAGTGATGACAGTTGAACTTTCGGAACTCAACGCTGATACAGAAAAAATATGTCACATTTGCTATCGCGTAAGTATTTCGTATCCACCATCTACTTCGCATCTGCTTCGTTCTTTCTTATTTTTATTCTCGATATCGCTCGTCTAAATTCGATCGATCGATCGATCGTTTCTTCGTATCGTGCCGATATTTATAATATGGCTGGATCCAAAAACAAAAAAAATATCCCACGATAATCAATTTCTCATCTTGCAAATTATACAGTTTGAATTTCAAAAAAGTCAAGGAAACACCGTGAATCGATGAAAAATATCGATCGCATTTTATTACAAAGATTGCTTTATTTGGAAGCTGATAAAAAAAAGAAACGAAAATTTAAGCGAAAGATAAAAGAAATTAGTTTTTTTAAATTCAAGTCAATTTAAATAAATTCATCCGTTCTAAACAGTTTCGTATTTCTTTAATTAAAATATATCAATTTGTTTCAACGTTGCGCGACAGCACAACGCAAGGTACACAAAATAACGTAAAATATTCGTATATACATATATATATATATATTGTGCAAAAAAATCATTTTAAAAATATATATTTCCATATACGCGAATATCAAACTTTTGAAATATTCATCTCTTCTCGTTTCTTTCAACTTCTCTTTTAATTTCTTTTAATCGTGCAAGTAAGATAACGCGTTATTTATTATATATACAATTTTTAACAGATCAAATTAGAGAGAGAGGAAAAAAAAAAAATAATAACGGATGTAAACTCGTCTCGTTCTTCAAGAAGCGAAAACTTGATATATTTTCGCGAACAACATGTCCAAAGTTTTGTTCCACGCCTCGGCTACTTCCGGCGTGTATTGCTTCCCCAACGCTTGGCCAAGAACTTCCAGCATCACTTCCTTCAAGTTCTAGAAATTGGGGGAAAAACAGAGAGTTGTCAAAAAAATTTCTCCCCTTCTATCGTTTTATATATATTTGTTATGTCGAGTTCGCTCTTTCAAAGCGAAATAAATTTTCAGATATAAAAAAGAAAAAAGAAAAAAGATCGTCTTGATAAATAAAAAAATATTCGACGAATATTTGATAATTTTATAATCGTTATAGAAAGGAGAAAGGTGTTTCGATCTTCTAATTCTTCGTTCCGTGATAAAAGTCAAAAGCAATCTCTTTTCTGTTTCATGTTTATATATATATATATATATATTCTAATTTTCACTCTCGTACCTGGAATTCTTCCTTCGTTTGGCCGCGTTTTTTATGTCTCTCTACCAAACCGATTAGGCTAGCCTCCATTAATCCTGGGTCGTGCAAGAAATCGATAACATTATTTAAGGCCGTAATTACGCTGGCACAATGAGCTTGAAACCGTTTATTAGCCGGCAATTCGTTCAAGGGAGTGTCCATGAAAGCGGTAAAGTATCGCTGATATTCCGGATATTTTTTAAATAATCTGAAATTCGTCATTCGTTGGGATAAATCGATCGTCAGGAGGGAAAAGGGGGAAAAAAAAAAAAAAAAAAAAAATATGTTCGGGAGATAGGAAATTTCGGTCGAAATTTCAAGAACGGATAAGACATGATTAAAGGGTGAATTGAGAAAAAAATCATATCGATATTGAAGATAATAAAAGATAATAAACGAGAATAAAAGAGAAAAAGAAAAAGAAATAACATAAAATTGCAACGATGAAGAATAATTTTATCTTTCTTATTTTTTCACATTATCAATTTTTTACATCATCGTCACGACCAAGGTTATTGATAATGCAACTTCATATTCTCGAGAGACAACATGTTTCTCGAGATTAAGGAGACAAAAAAAAAAAAAAGAAAATAAAATAAAAGAAATATAATAAAAGATAAATAAACGTTTACAATAATTGGAGCTCATGAAAATTTCCATTCGAGCGATTTCCCTTTATTACGATACGATCACGAATTAAAATCGATTTTACGAATTATAATAATATTAATAATAAAAGGAGTACACACACACACGCGCGCGCGCACGTACACTTACGCGCCACACACGTACGCACGCATACACCCGCTCTTAAAAGCAAAACTTACGCGGTCATCACGGCGATCCCGGAAGCCACCTCGTCCTTCCTGACAACTGCCCACGTGTTCTGCACCAATTTCTTCTGCCTCTCGGTCAACCCTGTCGCCTGATCGATCCTGTTATCGTCCGATGACGAAATCCCGAGGAAACGTAGAAACGTTCCCATCGCTCCTCGTCTGTTGGGTATCGTCGTTGCGAAGCGCGTTGGATAAAAGAAAAGAAAGAAAGAAAAGGAAAGGGGGAAAAAAAAAAAAAAAGAGGGAGGGACTCCTTTCGAGTCGGAAACAGGCGAGGAATGAGTCTCCTTCTCCTCCTCCTCCTCCTCCTCCTCCCCTCCTACGAAATCGAAGGCAAAAAAAAAAAAAAAACATTCGGTACGAATAATGCTTGTCTGATGATATTATACCATACAATACACACGTGACACATTTATCTTTAGAGAGCATTGACGAGAGACGTTCGAAGGATATAAAAAAAGGGAGGGGGGAAGAAGAAAGAAAGAAGGAAGGAAGGAAGGAAGGAAGGAAGGAAGGAAGGAAGAGAGGAAGAAGAAGAGAAAGAGGAGGAGAAAAAGAAGAAGATAGAACGAATGGCGGATCTTATTTAATAATAAATTCGAGAGATTTCGGTGAGACGTCATGATCGCCGGTTATCAAACACGGTCGGGATACAGCGAGCCACCACAATTTACCGTAATTCTGTATGATATGTCACGTGCCACGTACTGTCGTTTTTCAATTCGCTCAATCGCTGACACGGTTGGACGCCGACTACTCGTTCTTCGTGCCCGACTGACGGCCACTGCCTATCTAATGCTATTTTAAATCCACCCCCTCCGCCAACACGCCTCCGCCACCGGCTAATGGCCACGCGGTTAAATGATTAAAATTATTAAAGCCTCTCTTTACACGATCAGCGGCCAACCGGTTAAATCGGTTAACCGATTATTCGACTTGGTTAACGCCTGTTTGGTCACTGAACTCTCGTATATATATGTATATATATATATACATTTTCTCTTTCCTTCTTTTCGGTTCCGAAATTCGAATTCGATCGTTCGATCGTTGGACCTAAAAAAGGGGAGGGGAGAAGAGAGGACCAAGCGACGAATGGCCAAGCTCACTCTCTCTCTCTCTCTCGTTTTAACTCCCCAAATTGCTTTACGATCCACCCGGGTGACATCCGGTTAATTAATTCGTATCGAGTTATCTCGATATGGCAGCCTCGTTAGTTTTAATCGATCATCCTTGCGCGGATGCATCGATGCGCTATCGCCAATTCGTTCACAACGCGTCCATCCCCTTCCCCCGTTTCGATTCTCTTTCCATTCTTTTCTTCAAAGAGAAGAGGGAGGGGGAGGGGGGGGGGGGCGTAAAAAGGATTTTTTTTTTTTTCTTTTTTTTTACGATCAATTGTATAAAACATCAATTGATAAAATTGAGGATCGTCATCCGTGAGATAAGAGCTGTGAGACGCGGGTAAAAAAAAAGAATTAATCTGGAGAAAATTATCTGTTAAAATATAGATGTCGTGATTGCGCGATAAATTGTCGCGTAATTGTTGAAATATTGTTAATTTATCGTAACTCTCGAATGTATATTTTCTTTTTTTCTTTTTTTTTTTTTTTTTTTAATTGATGATTGAAATCAGTTTTCGATGCATCGCATGCGAAGTACTTATCGAAGTACTTTGCTCAAAGACACATCTTATATCTTATTACTTTGATTACTACTATGATTATTCTTTTCATGTGGAATAATAATATCACGACGAAATATTTTTCTTTTTTTTTTTTTTAATTACTTAAATGCACTATTTTTGTTTCTTCTTTTTTTTTCCTTTTTTTTAATAAGAGCAAAGTTGCTTCTTAATAAACGATAAGGCAATGAACAAGTACTTCATTTAAAAATTATTGAATCGTTTTAAGATTTAAATTGATTGGGGATCAATGGATCGAAGAGTTTGGTCGAATTATTCCAACTTCCTTCTTAAAATTGGAAGAAGAAAAAGCGAAGGATAGGAGAGGCATAACGTTCGTGATCGATGTCCGTATAATAATCCTGACTATAAATTTCCCTCTCGTTGACGTCATTCCGTGAACTATATCGGGACGAAGGCTCGATCGTGCGAGAGGTACCCAAAGGATTATCGCTATGAGAAAAGATGTAAATAAAGAAATTGTACGTTTAGATACGCGGAGAAATAAAATAATACGAATAAGAGACAAAGATCGAGAGATGTATAATGCGTGTCGAAATGCGAGTTAAGAATTTAAAAATTCTTAAGACGATAAATCCTTAAAGGGCGCATCGGTTTAAACGTGCGTCGATTAATGAACATCTTCCTTGTAACAAATGAGCGCTTAATGCGCACCTGTCAGGTGGTTGAAAATTGCAACATCGCTTTCCATGCGATTCACGTACGTGGCGCATGGAAGAAAGAAAAGATTACGAGCCAGCGCGATCGAAACGTTTCTCGAAATTTCTTTTTTTTTTTTCAAAATTTTCTTCGAATTTTTTGACCCCCCCCCTATACTTTATGATCGTTCGAATTAAATTGGATCTTTGTTCATCGCGTAAAATAATGAAATTTTACGTTTTTTTTTAAGAAAATTTTTTTTCAGGGAAATAGAAAAACAATCAAATATGACTAATGCCGAATCGAATATAGAAGCTAACCAGGAAAATAATAGCAAGATTCATTTACAATTAATATCAAGTTTTATAGGTATGAATTTTTTTTTGTTTGTTTGTTTATTTGTTTGTTTTTATTATGAAACGAAATTGAAAAAAAATTCGTCGATTTTGGCAATAAAGAAATTTTAAATGCAAATCTTCTTCTTATTAACTCTGCAATAGCACACTTTCATTATCTAAATAGGATATTTGTAATTTTGGAAAGCGTGATTATATGGCTTAAAATGTAGGAATTTGAAAGCATGTTATTGATTTTTTTCAAAATTTTTTGTGCAAAGAACTAAAAAATTCCAAGTGTGCTCTTCGAGCAGAGCTGAAGGAAATGTGAAATAAATTAAACTAAATATTAAAAAAACTTAAATATTCCTACGTTTTTTATATGCAATAATAATATTAAAGTTAGTAATGTTTAAAGTTTCATTATTTAGAATACTATTTCCCTATATGAAAAAAAGAAAAATTTATTCGTAAAAACATCATCATTATCATTGAAAGGAATAAAAACGTATCTATCTATTTTTTTGAGTTCAATTAAATGAAAAAAATGTTTAATCGCAGTCTTGATAATGCGATGCTTTCGAATATCAATTTGAGAAATATTTTAATTACATCTCTTATTCTCATTCCAGTTAGTCTAGCATTATTCTCCGCCGGAATTTCCGCCGGTTGGCCAACGATCGCTGTTCCAAAGTTGGAAGATGAAAGCACCTCTTCCAATTTTCATATAAGTCAAAATGATGGAATTTTGATAATTAACGCGATACCGGTGGGCGCCATTGTTGGATCAATTTTATCCGGTTTATTACTGAACGTTATCGGCAGAAAATGGTTCCTCTACGCGACCAGCGTACCATTCATAATCTGTTGGTTGCTCACCTGTTTCGCGAATTCTTGGATTGAAATTTTAACAGCGAGACTGATATCTGGTATATCGGTCGGTGCCTTGTATTCCATGGCCCCATTGTATATAGGAGAATTGGTAGAGCCAAGAATCAGAGGAGCGAGTAACACTATGTTATCATTCATGTTTAATCTTGGATGCGTCTTCGTATTCGGTCTTCAACCAGTTTTAAAGAGAGAGGTAAGAATTATTTATTTTTTAAAATTTTTCATCGAAATCGTAACGATTGTTGTGTGTATTATTGTGTATTTATACGACAAAATGTCTCTGAGAATAAGCAAGCGATATCAATTTTCTGAAAAAGAAAAAAAAAAAAAAAACGAAACTGATATATGTTTTCGCTTGTCAACTCGCGACTTTGTGCAAATTTATTTACTATGCATTATATATTCACGATAAATTTAAGATGACGTAATGTTTAAATAGTTTTGTTTGTACATGAAAGTATGCAAAAATATGTAATCGTTAACGATACTGTATTTTTTTCCAGATTCTGTCATTTATCAATTTAATACCGATAGCCATATTTCTCTTAACTATGCCATGGTTACCAGAATCACCTTATTATTATTACAAGAAAAACGACAATAAATCCGCAGCATTAACTTTGGTATGGCTAAGACGCAGGGAGAACAATAAGGAAGAATTAGATAAGATAAAAAATTTGATAGAAATGGAAAATTTAAACGGCATCAAAAAAACACCATACGGGAAAGCACTGACACTTCTATTGCTGCTGATGGCGGCTCAACAATTGTCAGGATTCGCAGCCATTTTATTCAACAGCGGCGATTTGATTAAAAAATTCAATGTACAATTCGAACAGGATTATCTTCTTCTTATAATAAGCGCGATGTTTTTAGTTTCCAACTTATTATCCGCGTTTACCGTCGATAAAATCGGCAGAAAAACTGTTTTCCTAATATCGACGTACGGTACTGTTGTATGCCTTCTCGTGATTGGTGCCTATTTCTTTGTCGAACATATAGGGATAAAAGTCAGCAGTTATTCCATGATCCCATTGGTCTTTCTTGCGATTTACTTTCTTACTTTCTCGTATGGTTTAACCTCAATCCCGTATGTAGTCTCTTCGGAAATTTTCCCGACAAATGTAAAAAATTGGGCAACTATGTTGTCCAATATTTTTGGATTCGTATTATTCATAATCGTGTATAACGTTTATCGGCTTCTAAGCGACAAATATGGATACGTAATATTTCTTATCTTTGGCGTTATCGAATTTATAATCGGCATCATCTTGAACATAGCATTACCGGAAACATCGTGCAAATCTTTTAACGAGATTCAGGAAATATTAAAAGGACACAAGAAGAAATAAAGAAAAGACAATAAATGATTTGCATTCTATTTATTCAATTTTCATCTATGGTTCTCTTTATATCGTTGAAATCTCTGTTTCAAATTGTTGAATTGCCTAGAGAAGAACTTTCGAGAAGATAAGTATTTCGAATGTATTCGCGTATGTGAATTTGATCAAAAACGAATTTCATGAAATGTTAATACAAAACAAAAATAAAAATGGAAGATAGAAAAAATTTTTAAAAGTTATTCACACATTTATTGTAATTATATAATTTGTGTGGCTTACCAAAATATTACATTAAAAATGCTTATTATGCATTCGTTTACGTTCTCTTGGTGTCATCTTTATCACTTTTTTGATTGCATCTTTGATATAAAAAAATTTTATCTTACAATTGGATTGATAGATAATAAAGGAAGAATAAAAATAATATGAAAATTATTAAATATATAAAACTATATTTATACCTTCCAAAGAAATTTGTTGTATTGTTTTCATGACATAATCATCATTATTATCAGATTCATATCTCATCTAAGAGAAAAAAAATTCACGCTAATACGTCTCTTTCGGATATTGTACTTGCATAAAATATACATAAAATAGTAAAATATCATTTATGTAATAAATAAATAGGGAAATATAAAAAAAAAATTTATTCTATCTCTTGAATAATTTCCATAGAAAAAAATCTGAATCTAAAAGCAGTTGCTTTTATTTATTAATAATTATGAAATGATTCTCACCAATTGGCTCATATATTTTTTTTTCTTTTTTTGCTAGTTATTTTTTTTAACGATAATTAGAATAGAATAAAATTAAATCATTTAGTAAAATAAGATAAAATTTGTAATGTTGAATTTTAATAAAACGAAATTCAGATTAAAAAAATTTAAATGTTAAGTTCTATCTAAATCATTATCGTAATTAAAAATGGCATAAAATGGCTTAAAATATTTGTTGTGTTACTTATTCATTCATATGCGTCAAACTTACCTCTTTCTTCGATAATTTTTTTTTTAATTGTTTCCTACGATTTTTTTTGTCGTTTATAGAATATCTTTCATCTTTTAGTACATTATGGTAATTAAAATTAATTATATCTGATTCCAATGATATCCATAAATCTCTCTTATCATTCCAATATTCTTTTCTATCTTCCCAATAACTTAATGGATGGCCGTAAAAAATTTGTGACATTGGATCAATTTCACCCTTAAAACACTATTCAAAGTTCACCCTTAATTTTACAATATGACAAATAAGATAAGATGATACAATAATATAATAAGATCTTTCAAAAAAAGAGTATACATACTTTTTTGGATGTATGTACATTTTGCATTTCAAGTATTTTTTTAGTATTTCTGTTTATAAATTTTATCATCAAATTACATACATCGTTATAACATATTTTTTGTGCTATAATGTAATCTTTTGTCATCATGTGTGGTAACTCTTGTATTAACATATCTAATATATCTGATGTAAAATTCTGTAAATTTAATTAATTTAATTTTTTTATCGCGTTTATACATAAAAATTAACAAACTTCGAAATCAAAAACTGTTAATCCCATATCTTTATGAACCATAGCAATGTAGCCGAGAAAATCATTTTTCATTGATGTATTGTCATAATTCAAAAATAAAGCACACAACATTTCGCATATATTCCTAAATTTTTTTTTAAGTTTTGCTTCTTGAACGAAATATGGAAGTGATGTATCTTCGAAATATTTCACGTATTCTGGATGAGTTTTAAAAATCCTGCGAGTTTAGCTTATATAAAATGAATTGATAAGTATATAATTATATTTTCAAAAATTATTATAACATTATAATTACATAGTGCATAGTGCAAATCCATAATACATGCTATCCCTCTCTACAATCGACCAAATTTCTTTAATTTTTTTGATATCTATTGTAAAAATACTTTTGACATACTTTTCTTCCTGCCATTCTTGTTTCTTTTTATAGAGATACGGGAATGGATAAGTAATTAAATTTCCCATTTTTTAAATTTTTAAATACTTGAAATATTTTGATATTTTGTGACATATGTGATATTTGTACAACTGAATATCACTTTTAACCTGTTACAAACTTTGGGTTTATTTTTATCATAATTTCGTTCTCTTCGAATCTTTTTAAAAGATTCCTTAACTTTCAAAAAAATAAAAAAAGCGGTTGTAATATGCATATTTTCTTATTTTAATTATATGCTAAAATTTCCTTTTTGTCAAAACTTAAAAATTCTTATAAACAAAAGAAAATCAATAAATCAAATGAAACATATTCTATTTAATTAATTTGGCAATAAAGATAAAATATTATCAGTAAATTTTAATATAATTAATTTAATATAATTTAATATAATTAAATGTTAATATAATATATAATAAATTATACGACATTTAACAATTTCATTATATTGACTTTAAGGAAAATTTATTTCATGAATAAACTTTTATTTATTTACAAAGAAATAAATATAAAATACAATTTTAGACCATAACTTTTCCTAATGTATTAGCATACTGAAATTCTGAACTATTTTCATACTCGCACATATCCAATGCAATTACACAACTTTCCCTTACAACTCTTTTATTATCATTTAAATATTTGTTTAAAATATCGAAACAATCTTGAGTAGCAATGGAACCTAATGCTTCTGCACATTCGTGACGCACCATTTCATTTTCTTCTGTATTTTTTAAAGATGCTTCTAAATGTGGGATAGCTATCTCTTTTTGAAGTTGTCCAAGAACAAAAGCTATCTCATGTTTGAACAAAGCACTTCCTACTTTTAGACCTATTTTTGCAAATAAATTTTTACATTTTTAAAATTATAAATTACATTACAAATTATAAATACAATTACATAAAATAGAAAATAAATAAATAATTATTATAGAAAGCATTATTATAAAGAATAATGAATCATTATTTTACCTTCACTAAGAACAAGAATACTTTCTGGAGTATTTATATTTCTCAAGGAGAACATAGCTCTATATCTTTCAAACAAAGAAATATTTTCATCTAAAAGAATTTCTTTTAATTTTTTAATATCGGTAATATTTGTTGGTGGTGCTGGATCCACTGACATATAAGGACTTTTTTGTAAATTAATTGAATTATTATTTGATTTTAACCATTGTATACGAGATAATGCCAATTGACATGTTTCTGCAACTTCTAGAACACGATCTTTGCTATATTCTTCCAATATAGGTATTACAATTGAATCTCCAATTGCACCTAAAGCTTCACCTATTACAAAAAAGTATATTTTTAAAAATATAAACAAAAATAAAAATAAAAAGTAAAAATAAAAACATATGATATTTAATCTAATATATGATAAAAACCTGCTTCATGACGAACCATTGGTTCTTGTGTAGTATCTTTTAATATTTCAATAAGAACTGGTATAGCACGGGAATCTTGCATTTGACCAAGACAATATGCAAGTTCATGTTTTAATAGAGCTGATTCATCTTTAAAACAATTATGAATTTGTTGAATAGCTTCTACTCCACCAATATTTTTTAAGGTAAATAAAGCACGAAATCTTTCTTTTAGTGGTCGATTTTGATCGTTTAAGACATGGCCAATTGCAGAAATTTGATTCTTATTTACTTCCAACATATTTTTTAAATCAAATCAATTAAGTATATAAATTTATTAGAATTTATTAGTATTTTGTAAAACTTATTTCACTATTTAATATATACGATGTCACTTTTTATAATAATTTTTACACATGAAATTATATACTACCACTTTTGAGGTTAAGTATAAAAATGAATATATCGAATAGTTAACATTTCTGAAAAAAAGATAACACAAAACCGTAAGGCTTGTACTTATATGCGCATTAATTATTAGTATACATATATATATATATGTTCATAATAAGTAAAAACTTATATATATACATAAAATTAGTTTATAAATTATAATTCTATTTTTAAAATATGGCGCAAAGTAAAACAGAAAAAATTGGAACAATTTTTACAAGGTAAAATTTCTTTTAATTTTAAAAATTTAAATCATTATAAAATAGGTTAAAATTTATATTCTTAAATTATTGATAGATAATTTATTATTATATTATAATGAATTATCTATTAATAATATTATATTATTATATAATTATATAATTACACTATATATAAATATAGTTATATTAATTATATTATTATATATAATAATTAATACATTACATA